GGAAGATGCTATTTTTAAGAGATCCATACTGGAAAAATATTTTTCTTGTCCATTTTCAGCTTGGAGAAGGATAAGACAACCCGTACAGGTGCTTCAGAGGTTTCTCTTTCTGCAAACAGCCCTTTCAACTGGAAATGGACGTTTCTTGGACTCGTGCTAGACCCAGCACATCATGCATTTCCCTATTTTATAACAGCTGTGTGTTTTTCCTTGCTAAAACTATTTTTCACTGAAACAGTAATATATGCTTGATGAAAAATATTTTAATAGACTAACAAATATGTCATGAAAAACCAGGCTCCTCTCACCCCAGGTAACTGCTTTCCCAGCTGTTCTCCCAGCAGCAACCGTGACAGATGAATTCCTGTGCATCTTTACAGAAATGAGACAGTCTCTGTTCACGCAAACATATCATTGCACATGTGGGGTACTTTACCTTTACCTTTTTTTATGCAGAGGCAGCCTATCAGCCACCCGGTATAATACTTGCTTTTTTTTTTTTTTTCAGAGACACTTTCATATCTGCTCTTTTGAAGGCCACAAATAAATTGTTCCACGCACCGGACTGCTCCTTTCTTCTAGAAATGCTTCCCTCCTTTGGCTTCTATACCTATACATTCTCGGGGCTTCGATTACTTCTTCTCTGTTGTTGGTTCCTCTGGTCCTCCCTGACCTCTGAACAGTCACGCCCCTTGACTCCATCCTTGACCTTCCCTCTGACTCTCTTCTTGTACCGGGTGATCTCACCCAGTCTAAGGGCTCTAAGTAACATCTCTGAACTGACAACTCCCGATTTTATCTCCAGCCTGAGTCATAACCTGAACTTTAACCTCTTATCTGGACTGCTTACCTGGCATCCCTTCTCTGCTGGTTATCTGGCAGAAGTCTCTAACCTAACCTGTCCAGAACAGATCTCCTGACTTGAGCCCCCAAGCCTGTCCCTCCTTCTGTCTTCCCTGTTCAGCTGTCGCTCAGGCCAGGAGCCTGGGACACGTAGGCCTTCCCTTATGCTTCCCTTCACGGCTGCCCCCCAGCAAATCGCCCTGGCTCCTCCTTTGAGCTCTTCCCACAGTCTGGCACTCCTTGGCACCTGGAGCTTATCACCCCAGGGCTGGGCTCAGCTACCATCACTGCTGACCTGGATTGCTGCGAAGCCTTGCAGGTGGTCTCTCTCCCTTCTTCTTCTTCTTTAAAATTTTTAGGTTGTAGATGGACACAACACCTTTGTTTATTTACTTTTGTGTGGTGCTGAGGATGGAACCCAGCACGTCACACTTGCTAGGCAACCCCAGCCCCTCTGCCCCTGTTCTTGCTCTCTGGTCTGTGGCTCCTCAACGGAGCAGCAGGTGATCCTGGGGAAACTGGACAAGGCCCATTCTCTTGTGAGGGATTCCCCTCTCACTGAGAGGATGAGCTCCTCAAGCCTGCGTGACCTGGCCATTCTCTCTAGCCTTCCCTCCAGACACTTCCTCCTTTATTCATTCTGCCCCAGCCTGTCTGATTTCCTTGCTGTCCCTTGTCAATACAAGGCCCAAGCCTACTTTAAGGCATTTGCTATCCCTCTGCCTGAGGGTTTGAATCCCAGATATATCTGCTTAACTCACTCATTCACCCTTGTCACATTTTCGCTCAAATGTCACTTCCCTGTGGCACCGACACCACCTGGTCAAATCCTCACCATAATTCTTCCAAGTAAGCATTCTCTCTCCCATGTTGAGCTCAGAGACTTCAGTGACGTGCACAGGCTGAGAAGAGCTGGACTAGGACCTCTAAGCCAGGTCTTTCAAAGCCAAAGGCCTTTCTTCCTGTCCCTGTGAGAGACACACTACTCTGACACTTTCCCCTGTCCCCTGGCACCTTCACAACATACAACACGAAGCATCATAGATGGCACAGCCACTGGCATTCATATTCTGAAGTGCTCTTGTGGAGCAGGGCCGATCTTATGAACTTGGATGGGGGATCTGAGATCCCAGGGGTTCTGTGGTCTGCAAGGCCACATAGCCAACGAGTGTTCCTGCATGAGATGAAGCAAGTAGAAGTTTGTGGAAGTCCCAGTGGGACAAGCCTCATTCTGGTTGCAACTCAGATCAGAAGGAAGGGGGTTGTGTTGGGGATGGGTTTTGGCGGGCTGTAACCAGGGGAAGAACGCAGATGCTGGAGCTGGGCCTTGGTGGAGAGGCTTTCTGGAACCCTGAAGATTCTCTGTGCTTTATACATACTGGGCCCTCACATGAGTTCTCTCTTGGCACCTTAAATCATCTCATCAGCCATGTGTGGGGAGCATTTTATCCCCATTTGGAGGATGAGGATACCCAGAGCTTTTCCACCTGCCCATTGGGAGGCAATTCTGTGCATGTGCACCCCCCATCTCCAGTGTCCTTCCCAACACCCATGGTCCATTGCTCAGGACACATGTTCCTTCTCATTCTATCTTTCCACACCTGATGAGTTACAGCGTTCTCACTCTTCATTCTTTGAACCTTTGTGCCTGTTCTCCCCTTTGCCTGGAGTGTCTCCCCTTCCTGAACTCCTATTCATCCTTCAAGATCCAGTGCCACACATAGTCCCCAGATCCAACAACAGAGCTGATCGTCCTCTCCCCTTGCATTTCTCTTGCGGCCCTCACCATGAGAGAAATCAGTGGCTTGTATCCCTTTCCTGGGACTCAGTCTCACTCATCTCTGTGCCCCACTGCTGTGAGGCACCAGGCTCCCTGTGTTTGTTGGAGGAAAGCAACCCCAGGAAGCCTCCTGGAGCACCCAACTGACTGCTCTCTCTGCTCCTAAGAACACAGAGCACTTTCAGCCTTTGCCTGTGTTAAGGGATCTTCTACTATTGATTTTGACAGTCAAACAGTGATTGTTGGCCCCTTTCTTGTACCTTCAGTCTTCCTCTTTCCATTTCTTGCCTCAGCCAGGGGGTGTCCTTGCCATGAGCTCTGGGGAACAGCCTCTCTAAGGTGCAGCACTGACCCTTGATGCTAGCGCCCCTTCCTTTCTAGGTGGCCTAGGGTGCAAAGCCCCTCCTCGCTGGCTATGTGGCCTTGCAGACCACAGAACCCCTGGGATCTCAGATCCCCCATCCAAGACGCAGTCCCGTCTCCCACCCTTGACTGTCTACTTCTCACTCCCATTCTTTCCCTCCCCTGTTAAAGAAAAAATAAAGGCATTTGTTATAGACAGCAAGGAAGACTTTAAGAAGCCCACAACTCCAATGGGGGGGTGTGTTACATCAGGGGAGAGACTTAGTGCCACTCCGATGGCAACAGGAAAAGTGGGAATTTATAGTCCAGGAACATTGTAGGGGGTCGGTTTGTGGAAAATTACTAAGCAGAGACCTCAAGGCTCTGGGGATTCTGGCTAAATTGACTTGACAGGATTCTTACTGCAGGCAGGCAAGGGCGATCTGATACCAAAGGTGGCAGATTTTCCTGACTCAGCAGGACTTCTGCTGGAAAACAAAACAAAACTAAACAAAAAAACGACTAGGGGGCCCAAGGACAGAGGCCAAGGTCAGGGCCTAGGCAGAAAGAGGAACTCAGAGGAGCCTGGCTCGAGTTTAGTCCAGTCTGTCATCCCCCTTACAACTTGGCTCTTTCCTTTCTCCCTCCTCAAGCCAAGCCTTTCTTGTTCTCAGGCCGGAATAATCTTCCTTATTTCCCAAGACCAGTTCAAATGTCTCCTCAAGAGAGTTTCCTGAGCTCCTCCTGCCTGAGAGGTGTCCATTTCTCCTCCCCACACAGGGAGGCTCGGCGGGCAGGGACGCTGGGTAGTGCCCACAGGGCCTGGGAGGGCAGGTGGGGGTCAGCGAATCCAGACTCGGACCTCGCCCCGCCCCCCGTCCCCCGTCGAGGGAAGGGCCTGCGCCGGGTAGGGGGGATGTTCCGGCTCATCCTTGGCGCTTCCCTCCGTCCGTCCAGAGGGACCCGGGTTGTGGGGTGGTGGTCTACGTGCTAAGCCGGCCCGGTTAGCCTCCTCTGGGATGGGAGGCGATCTCATTCCACGTTCCTGTTCCCCGCTGCAGTTGCACCGAATCGCCTTGGGGGGCTGACCACCGCTCAAGGGATGCGGGCGAGGAACGAAGCTCAGCGGCTTGGCCACCCCCAAAGGACAGGCACCAAGTGCCCACGCCACGATTCCCTCCCCTCGCCCTCTTAACGTGTCAGAGCACTCGGCCAGGGCCAACCTAAAAGCCGTCCTCGCCTCCACCGAGACACAAACAGGCGCCCAACAGCTACCAGGGCCGGCGCTGCGCCTTTAAGAGGCGGCGGCGCTGCCCCCTGGCGGCCGCCCGCGCTTCCTCCGCGCGCTGCCCGGCGGCCTCCCGCGACAGCCGGCCGGGCAGCGCGGGCGTCGCCGCCGGCTTCTCGGCGGGCTAAGCGCAAGGACGCGGCGGCCGCGGGTGAGGACCGCTGGCGGGCGGGGGCGGCCGCGTGCGCCCCGCCGGGTCCAGCTCCAGCGGCAGGGAGGCCGGGCTCTGGCGGCGCGCAGCCCCCGCCGCCGCCGCCGCCGCGGGAGGGCGTGTTGCTCGGGCCCGCGCGGCGGGAGGGAGGCGCGCGGGCCGGGCGGGGGCGGCGTCGCCG